TCGGTGTTGCTCCCGCGCCTCGCTCAGCCAGTGAGCGGGAGCCGGTCTGTATGTGGGATCCGAACCCTCGGATGGGAGCGCCGCCGCGCTTCACAAGCGGCGCACCATCCAGTGCGCCACCGGGCTGGCCCTACCCATTTTCTTAAAATATTGTACTAGCCTTTATTGAAGGAATCTTTCTTTTTAGCCATTTTGCCAGGGCCGTTCGTTTGCAGTGTAGAAAAGATATATTCCCACTGTGAAACAATTCAAAAATTTATTTTTCCGTATCTGAACTTATTAATTAAGCAGTATTCAAAATAGTAGGTTTCCTGGGTACTAATCTGTAGTATCAATTTAACAACTCCTATGGTGTAGAATTTATCCATAAAAGAATAAATTTAATTTGGAAATTTAGAAATACATCTTTCTCTTGCCCAGTAGGGAGAACAGAAATATCCTTTACCTTCACTTAGTAGGTAGCAGTGAAGGTTAATGTGGGAAGAGGTGGTTCTGGCGGCAGTGGCAACTCTGGTGGCATTTTCGGCTATTGCATTAGTGACTGACCTACCAGGGGCAGGGAGCTAGAAGGTGTAAAAAGAAGAATCTAGTGATCACTTGACCATGTAGAAGTATGGTGCCAGAAGCTGTTTCTGTGTTTTAGTCTTGTATAGATTGGGTTTTGACAATTGTGTGTTTATTTTTGTTTTCAAGAATATTTTAAGGTTATATTTGTTTCCTCTACTAGACTGTAACCTATTTGAGGGTGGACATCTTTTGCATACATTTATTCTATCAGTTTGTCAACAAATATTTATTTCATGCCTACCTACCCTGTGCAGGCACTGTTTTAAGATGTGAAGATGAACAGGTTTACTTCTACTCTGGATAGTGATAAATGCTGTGGAAAAAATAAAGCAGGGAACGGTAACAGGGAGTGTGGGGATGACAGTTTAAAGTAGGGTAGTCAGGTAAATTCTCACTGAGAAGGTGACGTTTGAGCAAAGACTCGAAGGAGGTAAGAAGGAAGAAAAGCATTTCATATAGAGAAAGCCACAAGTGCAAAGGCCCTGATGAAAAAATGCCTGTTTGAGGAACGTACTCTGTTTGAAAAACACCAAGAAGACTGGCATGGTAAGAGCAGACAATGTAAAAGGAGTAGTTGGAAATGATGTCCATTTGTATAGGGCATCTGAATACATTCTATTCTTGCTGCCTGGAATGTCCTTCACTTCTTTTGCCACGTGTCCAAATTCGATCTCTTGTTTTAGGCCCAGATCAAATATTACCTAAGCATTCCCTGAAGGCTTTTATCTTGCTGAAAGACTCCTCTTCGTTCTTAAGATTTCGTTTTTTATCTTTACTATGGTACAGTATTCTGTTTCACAGCTTATAATTCCTTGGGGAATCCATCCTATAGAATCCTTGAGGAAAGGTATCTGGTTTTAGATATATTTGTGTCATCCGCAGCAATCAGCACTGAGTCTTAAACATAGAAAACTCTCAATAAATCGTTGCTAAATGCATACATTTAGGATCTCCTAGCTTGGGATAGTTTGGGTTAGAATTGACTTCCTAAGTTTCCTTCTAACTTAAAATTTAGTCCCTCATTGAAAAGAAATTTTAAGATTCAATGCTTTTAGCACAGAAGTAAAGGTGGAATAGCTGTTACTTCAACTGTTTTAAATTGAAAGAAGTCTCCAAGAAGTATATATACAGTAAGATTGACAGTTTTGAGTTTAATTTATCAAGCAATATCAGGGAGTGTGACTGGGCTAACAGCTCTGTACCCTGACTGCATTGGGTTTTCCCTGACTGCATTGGATTTTCATTCTTTATTAATCCACCCTCATGATGTAGCGATTCATAAAGTTCATCTCTACCCTATAATAGTGCAGATTTCCATTTCATGCTATAATAGATTTTTAGATTTGATTGTGCCTCCAAACTGTTATGTGTGAGACATATGAAATCACACTCCTATTTTGTTAAACTGCAGTTTGGTTCATTCTGCTAGAGTCAGACGTTTATAATTCAAGGGTGAACTCAGAACGCATCCCCTTTTATTTTTGCTTTTTATATCCTTGAGCTATGATTGCAGTTCAAATGTTTTTCTTGGTTTGTTTCTTTAAAGTGATGTTTAGCTACAGTAACTTGGCAACAATAACCTTTTGTCTTTTAATATTTGTCTGGCAATATTTGTGTATTACTGTAAATGACTAATGAGACTTATATTTCATAAACCAGGTATATTTTTACATAGCTATCAAATAAGAAAAAAAATTCTTGGGTTATGATTCCTGTGTTGTTAATGAACTATGGCACATCCTTTGATGAATCACTTTAATAAAGTAGAAATGTTTTTCTTTCATATGAATTTTCTTAGTTGTTTCCACAAATATAAAAGATTGTATGTGTATATGTGTGCACACATATACACCACATATATTTTATATTTGTGGAAACAACTAAGAAAATTCATATGAAAGAAAAACATTTCTACTTTATTAAAGTGATTCATCAAAGGATGTGCCATAGTTCATTAACAACACAGGAATCATAACCCAAGAATTTTTTTTCTTATTTGATAGCTATGTAAAAATATACCTGGTTTATGAAATATAAGTCTCATTAGTCATTTACAGTAATACACAAATATTGCCAGACAAATATTAAAAGACAAAAGGTTATTGTTGCCAAGTTACTGTAGCTAAACATCACTTTAAAGAAACAAACCAAGAAAAACATTTGAACTGCAATCATAGCTCAAGGATATAAAAAGCAAAAATAAAAGGGGATGCGTTCTGAGTTCACCCTTGAATTATAAACGTCTGACTCTAGCAGAATGAACCAAACTGCAGTTTAACAAAATAGGAGTGTGATTTCATATGTCTCACACATAACAGTTTGGAGGCACAATCAAATCTAAAAATCTATTATAGCATGAAATGGAAATCTGCACTATTATAGGGTAGAGATGAACTTTATGAATCGCTACATCATGAGGGTGGATTAATAAAGAATGAAAATCCAATGCAGTCAGGGAAAACCCAATGCAGTCAGGGTACAGAGCTGTTAGCCCAGTCACACTCCCTGATATTGCTTGATAAATTAAACTCAAAACTGTCAATCTTACTGTATATATACTTCTTGGAGACTTCAGCAAGCAAACGGAAAGGACATTCTTGGGGGGGAGGGGAGAGAGGGAGGAGGGAGGGAGGTGTCGGTGATGGGCCATAATAATCATATACAGTGTATATTGACAAAATAAAAATTTAACGAAAAAAAAAATAAAGTGCAAACAAGAAAATTATAAAACTGTAACAATGCATGCATTGCCTAAATTTTCTTGTAAACTGTATCTGATTATTAAGTTGTTTGGCAACCAAATGCAAGCCCTAGAAGGCACTCTGATTGTTCCTC